TAGCCTAGCAACTCCTTTTGAGAAAGCAAAAGTTCCTGAGCGCAAGTCGTGGCTAGGGAAACCCATGACTGACAGGAAGCCATTTGCTGAATCTCAACGATAAGCGCAAACCGGGAGGCTTCAAGACGTGGATGCACTTGCACGCATTCACGACGCAAACGTCAGATGTGACCTCAGCCTGGAGAATTTGCATCTTCACGCACTTGGGATTTGGCAAACCTTTCAACTGCTCCTGGACGGCTTCCAGAGTGTCTGCAGGGCTTTGGCCGCACCATCGCCCAAAGACCTTGCTGTACGTTCCATTCCTGACATAAAACCCGAGTGCGCCATTGAAGCCGCAAAAGTTTTAGTCAGTGAAGTCTATTATAGTGCACGGGCCACTCACAAACCCCAGGACACGAACCTATACTATACTATAAACTGCATCTGCGAATCCAATGCGGGCTGCACTCGTAGCAAGGGTTGGCCAAACGATCAATGGCCGCAAGTGCCTGCCGAAAGTGGGGAGCCATCAGCCTGCTGGAGTTGCACTTCACGAGATAGAGCCTCGGTGGTCAATTACTTGGCTATTGCTTCCCTGTCTTGAAAATGATGTTGTTGAAATTCCATTCAGGTTGCGACAAGGCACATATCCACGTCGACAATCCAATCAGCTTTGCCCTGGCACACGAACATAATGTCGAGGCTGCCATCCAAAAATTGGCCAGCCATGGCCAGAACATCAGCCATCCGAAGCTTCGCCAGGGCACGGTTCGGCCGGACCTTCTGCCCCCCTTTTGGAAATAACTCGGAACGGCAGGAAAGCTTTTCGCTGGGCAACCCCATGGGTGACTTCGAAGAACTTTTGAACGAGCGGAAGCAAAGCCAAGGGCCGACGAGCCGACAACTCATCCACCAAGAACTCACCAAATTGCACAGAGCGAAGGTACGTTGCAATCATAATTAAAGCTAACTGCTCCCTGGCTTCCAATTTCTGAACTTTGGCACTGGCCACCAGAATCTTCAAACAGGCCGTCAGCTTGTCACCACCTCAGTTAAGGATGCCCCAAAGCAGGTCCGCCCTAGCACCAAGCCAGAGTTTTTTTTGAAGCTGACAGACCTGTTGCCTGGCATGGGCGCGGTGATTCATCTGGTTTGTGGCACAGGTAGAAACAAACAGCCGATGCGCTCACAGGTTGCAACGTATGGTCGTATCAAGTTGTTGCAGGTTGTTGCCTGAAAACTATCACACAGGCATCCACCAAGTCACGGCTCTTCACCACAGAGTGGGCAAAGCTGCCTCTGCAACTGTCCAGAAAAGACAGCCTGGACTCCCCCATCCTCAGAAAGGAATTCTCAGCGTGCAAGATCTGCAGCATCAGGTTGTCTGGGTCCTGCGGAGCTTGGAGTGCCAATATGGGATCTGATTCCTGATGATGTTCTTGTCTGATCAAACAAGGCAGACAACCAGCTCACCTTTCAATAGCACTAGAGAACCTTTCATGGGAAAGTAAGTGCAACACATAGTGGTGAAGGCTCAACAGAACGCACTGAAAGGTTTCACACACCTTGTCCAGTGGTGGGATGCGACAGCCGATTCTATGGGCCATGTAAGCTGCCAGGGCTGCCTCACTTCGATTGAACGCTGCACGCTGCTGAAACACCACTGACCCACTACCACTCTCATCAGTGCAGCTGGAAGACTGGAGCTACTGTGTCCAAATCATAGTCTCGAAACATGAAGTTTGCCACAGAGAGTATATAGCTTGTTGTCGTTGGAATCCATGCAATCCCTGGCAGCCTGGGCTGCAGGCTGGCCAGGCCCTATATGGCACAAACTCTAGAGTCACTACTTGACCAGTAAGGGCTACTACCACCAAGCAACGACCCAAGCGCATCTGGCCAAACGCCCCCCAAGAATTGGTCGCCTGCCCACCTTTGCAGGCGCTCACCCTTTCGTCTGCTGCCAGCCTTGCACTGATCGCAGGTGGAGGCATCGCTGGCCTGGCAAAAGCATGCGATTCATGACGGTGAAGTCAACATAGTAAAAACAATGACAGCTGCCCTGAGACCTCTCTCAGACCTTTCAGTGGCAACGCA